TTTTTTTTTTTTTTTTTTTTTTTTTTTTTTTTTTTTTTTTTTTTGTGGACCTTCGAGCTCAACCTCTTAATATAGAATGATTTGATGTTGAGCTAATTGTATAATATCTCGATATTGAGTAACAAAATAAAGAAAACTATGAGCAATCCCCGGTGGAGGATTTTGGCTTGAGCAACCCTTTTTTCAGTTGGGTCTCTACAATCGCCTTAATGCGGGTTGGATTCCTTTCTCCATACACATCCATATCGGGTCGGGAGCCTCCTCAATCAACAAAAACTTATACTTCTTCTCGTGGAGGCAGATCGAGATCCATGTCCCACCGAGGGAAAGAGTTTGAGCTTGATGTGCCTGAACCCCGAACCATCTTGACCTCAGCTAAGTTCGAGAAGCTGCTTACAGTCCATACACTCATCTCAAGAATAGAACAGTTGTGTATTTTCCAACAAAAATCAAATATTTGTATTTTCAAACTCAAAATAGTCAAAATTAAAACAAAATCCAAATTATAAAATTAAATGAAACCTAAAATGGTAATTCCACAAAATAAATTACCGAAATAAATAGTTGGGAAAGTTGATATCTTTTTTTTTAACCGTTTACCACTTTTCTTTTCTTTTTTTTACCCTTTAAGCGTCCTCAATCCACGCGCTCCCTCACCGATTTGTCCTTTTCTTCATTAAAGCTTTCAAAATGTCGTTGTTCGTACCACTATTTTGTTTTTTTGTTTAAAAGTTTCAATTTTTTTATTTTCCTTTTTCCAACTATTTTTTAACGCCTCACCCCTAAAATCTACATATTTATAGTAAAAAAAATTAATAAATTAATAAAAATAACTTTAAATTTTATATTTGGCTAAAATAATTTTAAAAAGTTTTAATAATACTTTTAGATTTTAAAAATAAACTTCAAAAAATACTCTTTAATTTAAAAAAAAAAATTCATTTGATATTTTTGTTAATTTAATCTATAAAAAATCACCGTCTAAAAAAAATTCTGCTCAGATATACAAAATTTCATGGACATCACTTTCATCATTTACATGTACATGAACTCTACATACATCACCTCGATACAGAAGAGTATAGAAAAGAATGAAACACAGTATAAATATTTCAAAATTTTAACAATCATATACATGCATGAGGTCCCACATATTAAAACATTCATTTATAATACTTTTTAAAAACTCTAACGTAAATTCCGACTTATTAGATATTTTTTTAAAAAAAATTAACAAATCTATTAGCCGTAGACTAAATCTATAATTTAACAAAAAAAAAAATAAAAAAAAAATGACATTGAACAATCAAATCAAGCCTTCAACAGCCAGGAAGGCCAGCCATTGAGAGGTGAATGAATGAATGCCTTGCCCTCCCCCACATGTCACACCCTCTCTCCATTTTCAACCTCGGCTCGGGACGTCGACGACCCGTCTCTACTAATCGTAAACTTGTAGTGTTCCATTCGAACTTAAGACTAACTTAAATCTACTAAATTTCACCGTCTATGTTGTTAACAAACGAACAATTTAGCAAAGAAAACGATCCTTGTAAAGAATGGCATGTTGTGATAGCATGGAAGTTGACATAAAGTGGTGAAAATGGCCCATTTTTGTTTGTTTGTTTTGCTTTGAAGAACAGTCTGTTGTTCTACACTTTAAAAGAGCAATGAATGAAACCAGCTACCCAACAACCCACTACTTATTAAGAACAAATTCAAATCAGCAGCAGCAGCAGCAGCAGCAGAGCATTGAATGGCCTTTCCAAAAGATACCCATTTTGTGAAAACAGATACCCATTTTGTGAAAACAGATACCCATTTCATCAACATTAATGAACAAGTTTGATTTTTAATTGTTTGTTATTAAATGAGAAAATGTTTGAAGAACAGAAGAACTAACAATGTATTCAATTCACAAACCCCATCACAAATCCACCATTTTTATGCCCATCAATCCATCCAATTCCCCTGCCCTCCTCCTGTTTGGTGTTTTTTTGGGGTTTTTTTGTTCTTGTATGTATCATATATGCATGTACAGAGATCCTCCTCCTCACTTACCAACACCCATTTCTTTCTCTCCCTCTCAAAAATGTAGACCGATACCGATAATGCGAGGAAGTGATGTAAGGCAAGCTTATGGGAAAATGATATGTAACAAAAGGAGATGGAACCAGAGAGCAATGAGGAATGAATGAATAGAATAATAAGAACAACTCCAAAAATGAACTAAACTATCTCTCTCTGGATGCCCCATTGATTGGATTATGGGATTATTTTTGAGCTTTCAAATACTCGGGGTTATCAGGTCTCGAAGGAAGTAGTTTCGGGTGGTGTTTCGTTCGAATCGGGGTTCGGTAGGGAGAGGAGAATTAGGAAACGAGCGAGCGAGCATGGGTCGTTGCAGTAATAGAGACTCGAGTTCTATAAGAAGCTATAATACCTCACTGAGTACTCTAACATGTCATGAGTCGGAGATATGATCTCTTTTACTCGGTTTCCACTTTTGTAAATCTTGAACGTCGGTACGATCCTTACGTTTTCGGTATCTGCAATTGCTGGACTATCTTCCAGATTCACCTTTTGTGACAGAAACAAAAAGGATAACATGTTAAGGATGAACATCTTTGCGTAACGTTCGTTGTAAACCGACATTGTCGAGATGAAGCGAAGAAGACAGACATCTTACCTTGAGGAAATTAATGGAAGGATAGCGACGACAAAGGATGTCGACGAATGGCGATATCTGCTTGCATTGTATATCGGAATCTACTTTGAAATGAACAACAGTCACGCCTGCAATTCGAAGTTGAATATCGAATCAATGGCCAAATATCAGTTGAAGATACAGCAAAGCTCAATGTTTAACACTAAAACCAGACCTGGGAACGATATCGCAGCTCGGAACTGATCTATGCTGGAAACCACCTCGACTTCGCCACCGAACTTCAGATTATGAACTTCTTCACCACGTGATTTCTTTAACGCGACTTGAGCATGAAAAAGAGATTCAGCAACTTCATTGTCATCTGGAAGTTCCCTCCTTAAAGCTTCGTAATCTCGTATAGCATCCTCCCATCTTTCGAGCTGCAGTCGATCCAAAACCGAGTTATAGAAACAAAAACGAGGTATCACGTATGAAGAATGCAGCAGGAGGTATCGTGTCTTAGCCAAGCCAATTTACCTTACTATTTGAGGCAGCCCTTCGAAGGAGGGCCTTCGTGTAAGTCGGTTGGATAAGTAACGCTTGATTACAGTCTTCGATAGACCGCTCCCACATCCCGAGTTTAAACCAACAGGCTGCTCGATTGCAGTAGAGGACCGAGTTCGAATGATCAAGCTTAAGTCCTTCCCCATATGCTGAGCAAGCTTCTGTATACCTTTCTGATTTAAAGAGATCGTTGCCTCGAGTACGAGCTCGTGCAACCAACCGCACGTTACTAAGCAGCATTGCCACTTCTACATTTCGAGGATCAATCTGTGCAGCTTTCTCAGCAGCCGTAACTGCATTCTCAAACCTGCAACATATCCATTATCCAATTCCCACGCTCTCAAAACCGTTTCGAAATCGGACTTTCGAAGCTAAAATTTTAAGAACATACCTTCCTAACGCCATCTCGATTTGGGCATGAATGAAATGAGAGTAAGCTTCCGAAATCATCCCGAAAAACTTCATTTGTAAGCACGTATTAATCGATGGATGTAACTTCGGAATGCTTAATAAGCTGGATTCAGCATCTTCAATCTGATGAAGCTTTAAAAGAGCTTCCACTTTACTCATAAACAGCTGTAGATACATAAACAATCAAACCAATCAGTCCTTTTCGTTCTAAATCGATATCGAAAACGTTAGAATAGCTCTTACCTGAGGCGAAGAATCAGCTCCACCGGCAATCGCAGCATCGGCCTCCTTCAATACGCTTCGCCAATCTTTGAGTCGACGGGCATCCCTGCATTTGCTTATATGCCTTTCGACTGCCTGCAGTCTCAGCAGCTCGCTCGGATCAGGCTGAACGCCTGGAAAACAAAGATGTTTCCTGGCATTCTCTACATGTCCTAACCTGCAAGCATCCAGACATAACAAATAAGCTAAATCATCAATTCAGCTACAAAGACATCAGCACTAACAGCACAGACAAATATGAACAATCCAAATCTCAACTCACCTATGAAACAAGGATGCCAAACGCTGATGAGCCCTCACATAATTGGGATCCAATCTTACCGCCTCCTCGCACTCGCTTACCGCCTCGCCAAGCCGCCTGAGGCCGGTCAAGGCAGCAGCACGGTTGCTCCGGTAAGCTGCATTGGCCGGGGAAACCGCAATGGCTCGATCATAGAGACTCAAAGCTTCAGCAAAATGCCCCTTTTTGTATTGTTCATTTCCAGCTCTCTTCAACTCCTCTGGATCCCCACTCTGTTTCGCCCTCTTCAGCGAGTCACCACCACCACCACAACCAGCCCTCGAGCTAACATTACTAACCGATTCAACGCCGCCGGTTTTAACACCGCCGAGGCCCCGCATTATACTCCCATGGCCGTAATTTCCCGACCCAGAACCCAAAACATCGGATCTCGAACTCCGGTTGGTCGACGGCATGCTCGTTTTCAAAACCCTTCCAGAAGGGCAAATATTACCGGTGGGAAGCACATTCGACGGGGAAGTAACAGAGGTTTGAGACTGACCCGAATAGATTAACGGATGACTCGATCCAGAATCGGATCTAGTATGACCAGACTTGAAATTCCTAGGAGTCCCAATGGATCGGAGGCTCTCCGCCGCAGTTGGGCTGCTCTCGCTAGACCCAGAGAGTTCACCGGAATGATTATTAGGACCCGAATCAGATCTTTTGGCAACTGGGTTCGTTGCATTCCGGCCAGAAACCGACCCGGACGAGCTGGAACTACTACTCGCAGCAGGGCCGCCACCAGTCTGGTTCCGAGTTCGTAATGGCGAAACAGGGGAACCCAGATCTAGGTCGCGAAAATCAGGCTTGTTGGGTTCACAACTGAGGGAATCACGAAAGCGATCGGAGAGATGGTCGTAGTCCGAAATGGGATTGAGAGAATGCGACATTTTGAGGCCTGAAAAACGAAATCCAGTTACCGTAGAGGGGAAGAATGAGATTATGAGAGAAGCCGTAAAGAAAACAGAGGAAATCCGTGGAAAAGAGAGGAATAGAAGAAGAAGAAGATGGGGATGCGGTGAAATTAAAGAAGGGAAGAAAGAATGAATGTTGAGAGAGCTATGTTTCCCCCTCACAGAGGGAGCAAGAAGAAATGGAAAATTGGATGAGATTTTACAGAGTTTTTGAGAGATTGAAGAAATAAAGAAGAAAAAGAAGGAACTTTTACATTAATTTAGCTCTTTTATAACACTCCACACACCTCCACTTGCTGCTTCACGAGACAAGTTTTCTGTTTTTTTTTTTTTCTTTTTCTTTTTTTTTTTAATAATTAAATTAATTTATTTTCTTATCTTTATTAAACTCTGTTCTTCTTCTTCTTCTTCTTCTTCTTCTTCATCTTCCTCTTCCTCTTGCATAATTCGCTTTATAGTTTGTTTCTTTCCAGAATTGAGCTTTCTCCACTCTCTTCCTTGGCGCGTGTTTCTCACTCTCTCTCTCTTTGTTTTCTTTTTTTTTTTTATTTGGATAAAAATTATGAACTATTTTTTTTCTTATTATAATTTAGAAAAATGATGACCATGTTGAATTGATGTGAAATGGACCTTTATCAATGGGACAAAAATGTAAAAGATTGAATGATGGAAGCTCAAAAAATGATTTTACATTTTGTTTGGACCAGTAAAAAAATCTCGACAAATATAGTTTGAATTAAATTGAATAATAATGAAACTAAATATTAGATGAACACGACTCTGAGCATAAGCGGCTTTCTTTTGGCTTACCAAAAGGACTCGTATCCTTCCTTCTAAACCCATGCTCATATCCCTAAATGAGTAGATGTGAGACTTTTATTCAACACTAAAAAAAAATAAAAAATAGTTCTTACGTTATTTTTTATTTTAAATATTTTTTAAGTTGTTTCGGAAAAATAGATACCAAAGATAGAAATAAGGGGGAGAGTGCAGAAATATTTACAATTCATTAGCTGAATAGTGTCCGAGACAGAAATTATATTATCCATCCCTAACCTTATCCACGTGATTGTACGTATACCAAAACTAACTTATTATAATATTTAAAAATGGTTTAAAACAAATATTTTTTAAAATTGTAAATAATAGATGCAAAATTAAAAAAAAAAACAAATATATAAAAAAGAGGAGGGTTGCATATTTATTATATCTAATTAACAAGATAAGTATGAAACTTGTTAATAATTATTGTTATCTAATTAAATAATAATGAAGATACGATGTATCAAATTAATAAATAAAAGAAAATCCGAAAAATAGAGAAGAAAATATTCAATAATAAATTCCACGTGTTTATTCCAGAAGACTCCGACCCCACTTTTCTGGTCCCCACCGGTTAATATAATCCCTATAAAATGGAATTTTTATAATTAAATTTTATTGGATTCTCTTCCCCTCCCCATTTCTTCCTTTTTTTAATTCAATTTTATTTTTAATATTTGAATTATGCATGTAAACAATAATTATTATTATTATAGCCTTAAATATTCAAATTTTTAAATTTAATTCACTGAATTATTTTTACTAGCGATGATAAATATATATTAAATTATATTAAAGGTGAGTGTTTTTAAAAATAATTAAACATGAAATAATAATAAACTAAAAAACAAAACAAAATCATTGCACAATTAATGTATTTCTTTGTCGATTCATGCATTAATATTTGACTTTTTGACCATCTAAATTTCATTCTCGAGAAAAATAATAGCTAAATGAAAGGTTAGTAACTAGTCGGGTTTTTTTACTTTCTAATTTTTTAGATAGTTATTGAAAGAAGACAAATCCTAGTATCAACCGCTTTTTTTTATGTAGTCACGAGAATTTTATTTAAGTTCAATAATTTTTTTTAATAATGCACAAAAAAAAATTATTTATCACTAGCAAATTTGACTTTTTGGTTTTTATTTAGTCAATGCATAGTTTGACTTAATTATAGCTTACGTGATGTTTGGTTCGTTTCATCTCGTAGTTTGACTTAATGTTATTTAGGAAATTAATTAATTAAAGAAAATCTTGAAATTGAATTGATTACTATACTATATAGAGTAATTAAAAGTGATAATTAAAATTTTAATCCGGATCATTAAAATTTTAAAATTTTGCTCCCTGGTCCCTCGTTGGTTACCTATTTATCCTAGATTCCTGTACTTTCCATATTTACACTTTCTTACGCAAGCCAGAAACTGACACGAAGATTATCATAATTACCCTGAAACTTCATTTAATTACAGAAAGAGCCCCCACACGTGGCAGAGATTTAAGGGGTCATTTACACAGTTGAATCTGGTGGTATTTTCGTAAATTATGGTGATAATTAGGGGTATGATAGGAATATTAGGAATTAGAAACAGGGAAGTAGCTGGCCATGTGCTGGAGCAAGTGGCATGCCAGCTGGCCCATTCAGGATGGAGGCTGAAGGATGAGAGTGTCATCCAGCTAAGCAAACGGCGTCAAAGAGATTTTGGTAACGGCCGTTAATTAAAAAAAAAAAAAAAAAAAACGGCGACAGAAGCCGAGAGGGAAGGGAATGATGAGGAGGCCATCCACGTCATTGCCAGGTAGACTAATCCCCTCCCACAATTTCTCACATCCTCTTGTGCTTTTTCAAATGGACAATATTACCCTTCACGTTTTAAAATTTGATATGGATTAACTTTATTTTTTTAAGACTTAATTCAAATAAACTTTCTAACCCGCAACAGTTAAATTAAAAGATTTGACTTTTATTTAGGCAAATCGAATTATTTTGACTTGAAATTGTAACGTTCAATTCTGACACAATAATAAATAGGGGAAGTGAATAGTAAAGAAGGGAATAAAAATAATGCGTAGAAAACTATATTATATACTTGACATTAAAATTTAGTATATAGTTTTGTAAATCACAGCGGTAAGGTGAATGAAATAATGTGAAGAGGAAAACATAAAAATAAAAGTGATGGGTGGCCTCAAGGAGAGGGACATTCAACATTTATTGCTGTTGTTCCCTTGTCTCCAAACTCCAATTATTTATTTATTTATTTTTATTATATTGCATTTAGCAAAAAAAAAATATTGTGCAAACATTGGGTTTATCCATAATTTATCAAAGTTGAAGGGATAATTATTGAAATTAAAAGATAAAGTGGGTAATTTTTACAAATCCAATAAAATAGAGGGGGGTTTGTGTAATTTGTGTATATTTTAATATTGTTTATTGTGGGAAGATCAAAACTTGACAATGTGTGACCAAGTAACGTTGTCTAAAAAAACAAAAAAATAATATTTGATTTTCGGAAAATAAATAAATAAATAAATAAAAAGTTGGAATTTCCATGCACTGCCATAAAACCCAACAAAAAGGACAGTTTTTGGGTTTCAATTTTGTCTTCAATGTCTCTCTGTCTTAACGGTTCCACTTCACTACTAATCTTAATTAAGGCCTTAATTACTTAATTAATTATTTCGCTTAGTTTCATGAACAAATCCTATAGATTTACTCAATTTTTTTTAAATAATAATAATAATAATGTAATTAACCCACTAATCATGTTCGTGTTTATCCCATGGTTGTATTTATCAAGCAATTAATAATTTTCATAAAAATAAAATAAAAATTAATTTAAATTTTTTATTTATAAAATAACAGTGGGATGGATCTGACATTTCAAGTTAATTTGTTTGATGATTTTGAACAACCCAAATAGAGTTTACAATCTCACTCAACTCAATTCAATCAAATTATATTTTTCGATTGAATTTTTAATTTATAAAAAATAATTTAATTAAATGAGTTCGACTAGAATTAAATTTCCCTAACAATTACTCATAAATTAATATGAAATTAATTATGTAGTTTGAATTTTGATATGATAAAAAAAGCTATAAGTCAAACCCAGAAATGTACTGAAAATTAATTTTTTAATAAATAGAGAGAGAAAAAAAAAGAAAAAGATTAAATTAAGGGAAGGTTCATGGAAGGACTCTGTATGCAATAATGTAATTAATCTCTTAGGTTAGTGTATTATTAAATTAATTAATCCATGTGATTCGGCACTTAACTAAATACAATACAACATTTTGATTACTTCATAGGTTGACATTTTTTTGTCAGGTCAATCGATTCAATCCTACTTTTAAGATGGTTATCAAAATTATCTCTATAACCAATTTGATTGATGCATTGAGTTGGGTTAGGTTGGGTTGGGTTGTGAACTTCATTTGACTTGCTTAGATCACAAACCTAATCAACTCAACATTTCGAGTTAGTCAACTTCTCCCAATAGTTATATGCGGTAAACCGATATTGCTGTCTTTTTGCTTGCATCGTATATAACGCCAATTTCAATCTCTTAAATCTTTCTTTCAAAACTCTCTTTCAAAATCTCTCTGCCTCCGTTTTCTAAAACTTTTTTCTTGAACCTGGGCCAGAGGCTCGAGCATATGTCGCTTGGCCGTAGGCAACACAAGAATAAATTGGCTCAACTCACTTCTTGCTAGAAAGTGAGTGTCGCACAATCGCAAGTCCGCTGCCATCAAAAGTGCGATTGTGACAAAACATGATCATATATGACCCCTACTATTACTAAATTGTATATATACCGACCTCCAACAAATATTGCCAACCACAAATAAAGATTAACGTTTAAAGCACAAAGTCGTAAACCCTCTTTCTTGTTTTATGAAATTGTCAATACTTTTTTAGGATGATTGGTTTAAATACAATCGTACACGTCAATGATGATAGTGATGATTGATGACAAAAAAACAACCTGACCGAACAAAATCGAATAGTCGAAAACCTAAGTTAATGAATCCAAAAGAGGATCACTATTTGATATGAGCAAGGAATATGGATGTTTGTGAAGAAGAACCCAAATGAAAGGGGAAGAAAGTTGGGGTTTAGGGTTTGGATTCCAATAATGGAAGAAGACCACATGGTATTTGCATAAGCTTTGTTATGGGTAGTGATACTCACAAAGAGGGGAAGGAAAACACATTGCATGTGGTTTTATAACATGGATTTAGTATAAACACCTTCTTTTCAAAAATCTTGAAAAAGTTTTTTGGCCGAAATCTTCTCAATTTGCTGCCGTTAACCTCACGATTTTAAAATGCGTCTGCTCAGGAGAGGTTTCGACGCCTTTATAAGGAATGTTTTGTTTCCCTCTTTAACTGACACGAGATCTCACAATCTACCCCTTTTAGGGTCCAGCGTCTTCGTTGGCACACTGGTGTTTGCCTCTAATACCATTTGTAATAGTCTAAGTCCATCACTAGTAGTTTTAAAATGCGTATATAGGAAGAGGAAAGAGGTTTCTGCACACTTATAAGCAATGCTTCATTCTCCTCTCCAACCGATGTGGGATCTCACAATCCACCCTTTTGGGGGCCAGCATCTTCACTGGCACACTACTCGAAACCTGGCTCTGATACCAATTTGTAACCATCCAAGCCTACCGCTAACATATATTTTTTGCTTTGGCCTGTTACGTGTCGTCATCAGTCTGCTAGGGAGAGGAAAAAAGTTTCCACACCCTTATCCAACCGACCGATGTGGTATCTCACAAATCATGGGGGCCAGCGTCCTCGTTGACACACCCCTCAGTGTCTGGTTCTAATACCATATGTAACAGTCTAAACCCATCACTAATAGATATTGTCGCTTTAACCCGTTACAAATCACCGTCAACCTCACGATTTTAAAACGTGTCTACTAAGAAGAGATTTCCACACCCTTATAATGAATACTTCGTTTCCCGTTTTCTGGAAAAATGTTGAGACGAATTGGATGGTATATGATACTCATCGAACCCAATGAATATTTATGTATTTTAATGGGAATCTTGACTGCCACCAAAAAGAATATATACCTATGACAATGGTCCATCTTTTTCCCCCCTCAAATCTAAGCAGCAGCAGTAGCAGCAGCCATCTCTGAGCGACTGTGAAGAGTACCAAACCCAAGCCCTCCAATTTTTAAGACTTTCAAAGCTGACCCTTCAATCATAAGGGTCAGAGAAAGAAAGAGAGGATGTTATTAATCTCACCCATTGGTGATTTTTGTTTCTATAACACAGAAGGCTAACAGCTTGAAGGAATCAGAAGAAGAATCAATACTTTTGGGAGTGGAAAACGAAAGAACATTATGATGAAACACTGCGAAAGTTGTTCGGGAGCTGACAAAATTTTGCGACACGTCATGGACCACAGTGAAACGTTGTAATCTTAATCTTAAACTGTAAAAACCTAAGCTCACTACTAGTAGATATTGTCCGCTTGTTTGAAAAAAACATGTAACATCCCAAGCTAGATATTGTCCGCTTGTTGTTCCTCTCTCCAATTGATGTGGGATTTCATATAAAACGCGTCTGTTAGGGAGAGATTTTTACACTCTTATAAAGAATGTTTTGTTCTTCTCTCGAACCGACGTGAGATCTCACGTAAATTTTAAAAAGTGTACGAGTTATAAGCATGTGAGTGACACGTGAGTGACATGAAATATGGTGCAAGTTGGAATGTTTTCCATGTGAGGATTCCCAAATTTTAAGACTAAACTTAAACTATACCCAAAAACTTATTTGTTCCAGACATAATAATCATGAACTTCCAGACAGACCAAGTTCAATGGATTCCTGTGTTCCATTTTCATTAAAAAAGACCAAGACCACCACCAATGTTACAGGCTTGGATGTCCCATTTCAATGCACATGTCATGCTACTACTACAAACATAACCCTCTTCCTCTTTCGATGTCTACATTTGTTTGCTGCTACCTATACAGCTTTTTAAAAAGTATCCAAATTTTTAAGTTTTAACACTATTTAATACGTTCTCGATCATTTAACTTTTATATGGGTCTTTAGTATTCAAAATCTCACACTATTCTTAAGGTTGAGACGTGCATTTTTTAAAAAATCTGTAATAGTTTAAACTTACCGCTAGTAAATATTATCTGTTTGGCTAATTATGTATCGCTATATGCCTCATGATTTTAAAAAACGCATATACTCTGGAAAGGTTTCCATATCCTTATAAGGAATGTGTCGTTCCCATTTCCAATTGATGCGAGATCTCACGATCCACCCCTCTTAGAGCCCAGCGTCCTCGCTGGCACACCGCTCGGTGTCTGTTTTTAATACCATTTGTAGTAGATATTTTTTGCTTTGGCATGTTACGTGTCGCCGTCAACCTCATAGTTTTAAAATGCGGCCTGTTAGGAAGATGAAGGAGGTTTCCATACTCTTAAGAAATGTTTCGTTCTCCTCTCCCATCAACGTAAAATCTCACAAAATGTAAAACGAAAATTGACGAAAAAGAGACAAAATTTTGATGTGTTCAAACAAATGAAAATAGATCGAAAAAGAAAGATGAGATGATCCTAAGTGCACAACATAAAACCAGATTCATTATGAAACACAAACCAATGTCATGACATTTCCTTGTCAGCTCAAAATGGGTACTTAGGATTCCATTTTGTAGACAGACAGAGAGAGAGAGCTGGGATTTGTCTGTCATGGCTGCCTGCGTCTTACCCTCTTAGCTCCCATTCTTAAGCGATTTGCTTTCATTAAGAGTATCATTTTGATTATTTAGCTTCCTTTTCCCCTTAGCTGATAGATATTGCTCATAAAAATCGGACCTTTTTGGTTGAGAGAGTTAAAGATCCATTCAACCTCCAATCACAGTAAATTTTTTCAAAATCTAAAGCATGTCAGATGAATTCAGGCATCAAGATTGAAAACCCACACAAAAAAATTAAAAATTTACAGACCCCACGATGTATTTCTCTCTCTAATTATTGTAATTATTGAGGAAACTGAGGTGGGGAGGCATGTGATACCCACTTGGGTAAAAAAAAAAATAGAGAAAAGTTACTATGAGAACGAGAATCCAATAATATTGGTGGCCGAAGGAGATGAAAGGGGCAATGAGTGAGTTCATTTCTGTAATGTTGGAAACCCAACCACCGACCATGTATTGAAATTCTCAAACCACAATGTTGTTCCAAAGTTTACACTTGTTTTGCTTTTATTAGTTTAAGGTATTCAACAAAATGTCGGCTTTCTTCTCCTTTTTCATACTATGTACCGGTCAACTTGCTTAACTGGTTGTCAACCTCACGATTTTAAAAAATGTTTTGTTTCACTCTTCAACCAATATGAGATTTTATAATCTACCCACTTGAAAGTCCAGCGTTCCAGCATCTAATAGACCGAAACGCACGATTTTAAAAAATGTTTTGTTTCACTCTTCAACCAATATGAGATCTTATAATCTACCCACTTGAAAGTCCAGCGTTCCAGCATCTAATAGACCGAAACGGATAATATCTACTAGCGGTAGACTTAGACTGTTACATAAAATTTGAATTTTTTCCTTTAAATTTGGGTTTAGGGTTTAGAGTAAACCTATACCTACTCAGCAAAAGGATTGAATATATGACTCTAAGTAATACAATTTTAACACAATAATTGAGGTTACTAAAAAGATTTACGAATTTGATTCAATTGTCAACAATAAACAAACCCTCTTCCCTTTCTTGCAAAGCACTAAGTTAATATCAAATCCCAAGTTGAAAAAACAACATAACTTGGCTTGATGGCCAAGGAACCTTTTCACAAACTACAATCATATGATAGTCACAACATCCAAAAACCCACTTCAAATATCTTAATTCTCATCCAATTATTGACCTAATTATCAATAAAATCATTTGTTAGTGACGAACAGCAATGAAATCTGTGAAATCTCATTATCGGTTAAGAAACGAATTATTTCTCCCTAACAGATTTCTCCCTAACAGACACGTTTTAAAATCGTGAGGCTAACGACGATATATAACGGGTAGAAGTGGACAATATTTGCTAATGGTGGGCTTGAGTTATTGCAAATGATATCAGGGCTAGACAACAGACATGTGCCAATGAGAACACTGGGCCCTTAAGGGGGGGAGGGTGGTGGATTGTGAAATCTCACACATTGGAGAGGGAAACAAAGCATTCCTTATAAGAGTGTAGAAATCTCACTCTAACAGACACGTTTTAAAATCGTGAGGTTGACGAGGATAAATAACAGCTCAAAGTGGACAATATCTACTAGTGGTAGACTTGAATAATTACAGAATCATTTCATCTCATTAATGTAAGATAAATTGTATAGATAATGGTAGGATTAGAGGACAATATGCTTGATTTTAATCTAGATTATGTATACATATTATAAGATCTTAGCATTAAGAATCAAAGTTGAACAAAATTGAGAGAGTGGGTATTGCTTGCAAGGTTGTCATGATCAATGCTTATTGGTAGCTAACATTGATATGATTGAACTTCGAAGTATTGTTTTCAATGATGGAAATCCCAACAGATACATCATTATCACAACCAGCAAACTCTTGGATACCGAAAATAATTGTACCATTACTTGATTACAAACAATAGCTACAAGGGTTTTGTACCACTTCTTTTGTATTATCATTCAAAATCAATACCCATATCATATCATGTGATTCCCTTTTGCCTGACATTACAAAACTTTAGATCAATCAATCAAAGCAAGCCTTGTTTTCAAGCTCTTAAGGATGCAAGTTTATGAGATTTCAAGATTTTATGTGAAAGAAATTTAATCATTCAATGAGTAGTTCTTAGTTCTTAGGCTAATTAATGTGTTTGGTATCATAAGTTGATTGAAAAAAATTAATAAAAGGAGACAAGAAAGTTATATAAAGTTGCTTAGTTATAATGTATTTGAAGAATTATTAACAAAACTTTTTAAAATGTGTATGCCAAATTGCCCTAAAAAGGAAGTGGAGCATAATGAATTGACAAATCAAATCATTGGGTTTATCATTATGGGATCCTTTTATTTCCACTTGGGGTTACCTTGAGATGCACTCTTCATTCAACTAATGCAATAATGATTTTCAAAAAAAAAAAAAAAAAAAAAAAAAATAATTAGAAGATTACCCTTTGGCTGCCAATCTTAGCTTGAGTGGGTTGAGCAGAGACTGGATCTGAACCTCCAACCATTCTGTTCTTTCTGTTTGAAATAATTTATAGAACTGCAATTGGAAACATCATTCTACTTCATTGAAAGTGAGTTACAGACAAAATGAGTTCCAGAAAGATGAGCAAAGTGAATGAAAGAATGAAGCGATGCCATCTTAAGGATATTAAACTCAAAAGCCAAAGGGCAGTGGCAGCTTCTCAATTTTACAGCTCTGCAGAAGTAAATAAGACTTAGATACCAAAGAATCAGATGTGACAACCAAAACTATACTGTTCTAACTCTAAATCCACCCCCTGGAATCAGGAAGAGTATGAAATCAATCAATCTTATAGAAATCTTTTAGAAAAATACATATTCGGAAGATTAAAAGGGGTGAAATCGACGTTATATGCCTGGGATTAAACAGAAAACTCCCTGACGAGCGTAGCTCGTCTCCCCGGAGAAAATGGGGATTATCGTGAGTCATCATCGGCCGGTAATGTAGGGCTCTTTGTACAGCTTTCTTTATTGTGAAGTTCCAACAATTTCTTTTCTGGATTACAAAGCCCTGAAGAACAGCATTGATTGTACAGGATCATATTTTCAATAGCCAGTTCAAACTTCTACAGAAAATTTACACTATCTAACATTATCCTATGGTGCAATGATTTACATTGCATTGCAAATAAGTCAATGGTAAATGAAACTGGGTAAGTTGTACTTCAAGTTTCAAGTACAAAACTACCTCCAAGCTTTATGATTGTTAAATTGTACTTCGAGAGTAACAAAAGTAAATGGGATTTCTGTTGCTAGTTTGAGTTATAATCATGGGTGTTCTTTTAAAATACCTTTACATGAATAGAGTGGTATTGAATAAAGGGAGTTTCACAGTTTTATTGTATTCAGATGTGAACCTTAAAAGTGGTGTATTTATAACCTATGTAACTTTTCACTATATCAAGGAGTTTTCACTATATATATATATATACAAAGAGAGAGAGAGAGATAGAGATAGAGATAGAGAGAGAGCACAAGGATACCAACCTGAACACTTGGGAATGTCCCATACTGCAATAGATGTTGGCGAACAGTCTGGTTCACAGAGTGCTTTATTGTTCTCGTGCTCAACATTCATAGCAAGCATCCAAGCGCCAATTGTTACATCCTCGTTGCTGAACATCCGGAAACTGAAATTTTCATGAAATTGGACACATTATAAACAACATAAAGATTTCAACAGACAACAACAATAAACCATTTCATGGATTTATAAAATAGATATACGAAAGAAGGCTAATCAAGTAATTAGAAACCAAAAACATCTCTAATGGGAAATGAGAGTAGAGACTATAATTACAAAAAGGATCGTTGATATATGAAATAAATGTACAAAAGATCCTATCAAGTAATTTTTCTTAAAAAAACGTCTCCAATGGGACGTGAGAGTAGATAGACTATAATTACAAAATGAAGGAGATAACTTGTTCCATGACAAGCCTAATATTATAGAAGTAGATTCAACAAAAGAGCAGTAGCTTTGTTTGTTATCCAAGAACATACGGGCATTGCATTTCAACCAAAGATTCCAAATGAAAGCTGAAACAAAATTCTGCCAAAGGATCTTTTTCTCAGAAACAAGAGGATGCCCCGTGAGGATATAGGACAGAAGAGAGAAAACACTCGCAGGCCTCTTTTCAATCTACTCCCTTTTCAATATCATAACTTGCTTTTTCAGGGCAACCATACAAATGAGATTTTCCATCCACAGAAATTTACAGACCAACAGAAAAAGAAGAGTGACTAATGCATGAAGATCGATTTCGATATTAGTATGGTTTATAAAACTTGAAGAGAAATCAACTCAAAAATCTAGATGACAAGTACAAGCTCCACAAATACTATTAACTAGTGAACTTTGTATTCAGAGGGTTATGTATGCTGGAGATGGGTAAAAAGAAGCAAATAAAAAATCTTCAATTGAAAATTGGTAACATCCTCAACGCTTAAAGGTCCCCAAAGGTTCAAATATTTTAAGAAATAAACTTGCCTACTATTTTTAAGAGCACCCAAGCTTGCCACCACATCAGCAGAGAGGATATATATTGGACCATAGGCATGAAGGAAATACTCATTTCCAAGCAAATGTGACAGTGGCTCGTACCTACAAAATGAATCAGTATGGATATGTTACCAATCAAACAAAATGGAAATAATAATAGGAACCATCAAAACTCAATTGCAATCTGGAATCCATAGTATGACAGCTGACGCCTACCTCTCGTAGTGAATAGCCTGTATTAATTACTGTATATATGCACCGTTTATCTCTTGGCTAAGGAATGTTATATGGTAATGCCGCCACTAACCTTAGCATACACAGTAAAAATATTTAATCTACAAACATACTTGTAAAATTTTAAATTTATAGCAAAAATTCTGAACTAATGTTCTCCAATGGTAATTATGATAGATTGAAACATTATTTCTCTCCTCTTTCAGTATGGTGGTCTTCGTCTTGGCAATTTTAGTTCGTACTGCAAGTTCCTCTTAATCAAATATCTCCATTATTTATGATGCTATGTCTTGGTGTAAATCTTCTGTTTTTTTTCTTCTTATCGTTATGCTACCCTTTTAACAATTGGGCAAACATTTGGTAATCTCTCATGACTTCATATCCATTTTGTAATTTCATACATCAATGAAATTATTTCTTACGAAGTATATATGCTCAGACAAATGGTTGGATTGAGGTAAATAAATTTTATAATGTTGGTAGGAGATTGTGACCTTCCACTTCCACTTCCACTATCAAACTAAAACCCATTCTAGAGATGAACTCGTCTTAAACTGCAAAAATGGAAGAAACACCAGGTTTTGGGTCTCAATGAAGCCTTTACATGAACATTCTTCCGCATTATCAAGTCCGAGTACAAAAAATTGGCCAATTTCAAATTGCTGGGACAGTGTTCTTATAAGAAGAGTCCCTTAAGAGATCAGGACAAAATTTAGGCTCTTGCTAGTTTCACACTTTTTCTTGGTGCTCTCCTCTACCACCTAACTATTTCATGGGGATGATTTTGTGCATCCCAACACAGGTTTCCACCTGAAGACCGAACGCTCCAAACTACATCCTCAGCTATAATTGCATTATTAGCTTTCATGCTCACCATTGATAACAGCAATACATTAAAAATTAGAAAAATGGAACAAAAAATTTGTAAGGATAAACAGAAAAGTTTAAAAAAAAAATCAAACCATTTCAACTTTGGGTCTGTGAAGACTGGGCCCTTTTTCATGCAACCAATGTAAGTTTGAGGGTGCGTGCGTTCTTTAGCCAATAAAAGCGAGAGGCGATCTAGCAAGATGGAACCAACTGTATCAAATATTTAAAATATCACAAAGATCTGGAAATAATGAATCCATTTCAAAAAATTTAGTCACCTGGCCTTAAATATATATCATCATCAGCTTTGACATAAAACTCAGAATCATATAGTGCATATGCAGCCTTAAAAAATGCTAACCTGTAAACTTAGGAATAAAAGATTAGTAGCTCCAAAATAAATAGAATCAGCATTTCGTTTAATAAAACTCTGTTCATACTAACGTTTTATAAGGTAGCCTACTATACTCTTCTTCAATATCCAATAGCAAAAAGTCATCATATTCTGCTACCTCCTTTTTGAGTTCTGCCATTTTCCTCTTGTCACTTGACTTTCCAATTATAAACCTGAAAGCCAAGCCAGTGGCTTCTTCCAAACTGGGAGCCACCACTGATGTCAGTGCATAAATTACTACAAGCACAACTACGAATCACCATTATCATTCCCAGAAAGCGCACAAATATGCAGAGTTTATGAAAATCTGAGATGCATATCAATATAACATGGGAAATTGGAAACAGTGTGTGATTTGTATTAACTTCAAGGGGATGTCCCTCCAATGCCATTGCCAAATCAAGCGAATAAATTTACAAGCATAAAGAATTATACACCAACATTGATCTAGATTCCATAGGAAAAGATAAATCCACATACGTAAGTCATAGCAGGATCTAGATCAGCACAAGCCTATGAAATCTATTTCAAAATGGCAACTAAAATTCACTGAACATCCATACAAAAAAAAAAAAAAAAAAAAAAAA